CTGTCTACGAGTAATTCCTAGTCATCATTTAGTTCTCTTTCTTCAGGATTGTTCACAAAATGGCAACCCATTAATCTAGCTACTCATTTGTGTGTGCCTTTTTAGCAACAAATATGAGTTTTAACTCTATGAGGATTTGTTTAAAGTTACATGTGGGTTCATCCCACATCTCATCGGCTGTGCAAAGCGTAATCTTGGCGAACCTGTACATGATCGGGACTATTCTCCAAAGGCTTTGCGGCAGACCCCTTGAAACCGTTTGATGAAGCTCTTGTTAAAATGCATCCGTTTATGTAAGTGCTCCAGGCTTATTTAACCTCTGCCTCATGAATTTCGTAACAAATATTTCGTCCTGTATACTGTTTTCCCAGATCGTTCATAGTGCGGCTATTATAATATAACGAGGAATGGCGTAAGGGACTCACAGCTGGGTTTCTGGTGCTAGCCAAGCTCCCAGAAATGCATCTTCCAATCGTTATTCGATTAAGATCTAGTCCACATGAGTTGCTGGGGAATAATATATCGGTGAATCCGAGGACAAATGACGTCTAGCGGTAGAACTTGGGAGCGGTGCCCATTCTTTTTTCGGTGGTGGTTGACGGCTATCAATGCTTCAGAACTAGATGGAGACCTTCCAAATGCCTGAGATGTAAACACAAATTCGAAAAGTTCTCCCAAACATGGAGCAGTTACTTCTATAGTTTCTACTCGATGGTTTTGAGCCCCGATTAAATGCACGTTGTTGCATTATATGTACATCCTAGCTTCCTGGAAACTACTATAGACCAAGCGTCAGCGGGCAGCAACAGAAAATGGAAACTTATAACGGAATCTGATTCGGAGCGTAAAATTAGTGCGGCATTTTGGTCAAAGGGGGGCAAAATTCAGGCAAGTGGAGGCTAAATAATGACAAGTATTGGATAAATCTCACTGTAGTAGCGAACTCCTGATTGTAAGAAATAAGAATGCTCCTGTTACCAAAAACACCCGCCGTCACGGCATTGAAAAAATTAACTACTTAGAATGGAGAAGTAGCTGTGTAAATAAACGGCACTGGACTGACAATCCATCCATGAGACCATCTCGTTCGAAATATTAAAAACCATTTCAAGCCGGAAAGATTTCCGTCCCGTAAATCAAAGCAGTACTAACCATGAAAAACTCTCGTCTCATTTAGATTCTTGACAAGGTGTTTTTTCACTGTGTCAGTTTTTACGGCTTGAAGTTTAGATAGCTGGTCCTTATATTGAGATCAATATTCCAACCCATGGTTTGCCACCAGAGTTCAGACGACCTATTTTAATATAAATGGCGTCTTACTTTAGCATTCTTAATTTCATTGGGTTATCACTGAGTGAGCTTCCTGTTACGCAACCGGGCTTTATCTAAACTTGACGATCACCATGCCCCCACGACCCATATTTATCGATCCTCAGCCAGATATACTGTAGTTATTACGCAACCAGAGATGTTCCTTCATTTGAAGACAGAGTGTGGCAACCAAGAGTCCTACTGCACCTTATCCGAATACGGTGGACTTTCTTGGTGTGGCTGAAAGGATTTGATGAGGACATGAGATGAACTGATGTGGACTAAAAGTGGCCACTAATTTCAACCTGCTGTCAACAGAAGGTCCGTCTTGAAATCAGCTGACACGCTCACTTAAAACAGTCTTGATCTAATAGGCGCTACACAAATACCATTTTATATCCTGGTTAGATTGATATTTAATGCCTAAATATTTTCGTTCAAACAACACTGTGTGTTGGGATGAGGCTTATTTTAAACGAGAATTCCAGCTCGCTTAAACAAATGTTCCGTTATCACCATATCATTTTTACTCTATTGAGGCACATGGTGCCCATCTAAGAAGCAAGCCTGCCAGTATCGTTTCGCTTTTTCTGTGGTGTCAGGTCAGAACTAGTTCATTCTCATCACAGTGGTAAAAAGTGTGCATATCCCTCTCGTAATCAATGAGGGCTTTCATCGTTTTAAATGCAGTTTATTTGCCAAAGCAAAGTATAATTTTTTCATATTATAATCAATGAAATGGAGGTGCCTTCAAGTACCAGTGGGCTGTTTCAATTCATATAAATAAGGCTGACAACACAAGAAGTATACCTTATGCAAATGGAGGTGACCACTGCTTGTTTTTTATTTTTATGTTGCTGCTCGGAAAAGCTGCAAGAAAAGGAAAAATGTGGAGAGAAATTAACAGTCTATTTTATGTGATTCTTGCTGACAAATTTGTGCAGTTCCATATCAAAACTTTCAAAAACATCCATCAAATTATCTCTCACAAATTGTCGAAAGATAGTTTGACTAACAATGGAGCTTGTGTGATTATCTCTTCTCTCTGAGTATCATCGACCAAGAGTTGACTTCTGCAGGACACTGTGGGTATACCAATTTTATTTTACATTGAAAATGATAAGGAAATGACGAAAACTAGGATGGCGTAAAAAATGGCCTTCACAAGAACATTTTTTCGGGCATGTTGTGAAGCACTGCTCACTTGTCTTCAACGGCTATGAGGGGAATTCCTTCAAATTTTTTATTTCTGTTTTCATTTCTTGTGGAGACTGCCTTGGATCCTGAGTTGAAATTTCGAGACAACTTGCGGTAGTCATGCTGGCGATCATGTTCCTTAGAAATAGTCTTTCATCCTTAAGTAGTTAGCCCTATGATGGATTAAATAACTCTACTTTTCTGACATCCTCTGCTTTGGCACTGTTGCATATTGTAAACCACATTCAGTTACACTCATTTCAGACGCATACCCTCCGAACCCAGCAAGTTTTTACGAAAGTACCAAGTAAAAAATTTCCTGATTACCTCATCGATATTGTAACAGTGCCCGAACATCATGAAAATGTGACGTCGTTAGTTATGTCGCTGTTTGTTTAAAGATTAGTGCACTGTCAGTCACGCAGCTATTGTGGCTTGCGTCAGTGAAAACGTCTAATACAGGACACCAGGTATTGACTGAGAACTAGCACCCAAGCGACGCAAACCTGAAGTTATCCACCCTTTCGCCGAATGCCCTATGAGAACATCCAACAGTTCCACTTGAAACTGCTGAGTAGCTCACACCAGCTTGGAGCGACAGGTGAAATCTGGACCAATGCGGATATTCTGCTTACTTCTATGCTCGATGTCTAGCAAACAGTCCTATCATAGTAAATTGGTGGGGGGGAACGATACGACAGGTTTCTCTTATCGGGTTCTCATGAGTAGTTTAGAATGTATGCAGATACACAAATAGCCCGGAGGTATGTGCGTATTGCAAATTTTCCGAATATAGAAATATTCGGGAATTCGGGATACGTTTGACAGACATAGACGTTGTCCCTAGATCGATCGAAATTGTTTCCTGGATTATCTTCACTTGGATGAAGCTAGACCGCAAAGACTGCCATCGTAAGGGAATTTTCGCATTACTGTGGCATTTGATTCACTCTTGAGCGGGACATTTAATCACCTAGCATCAAACTCAGAGAATATAGAGTTGTATTTCACATACATTGCTCTGCTTGTAATATTACACACTAAGTATTAAACGTTTAGGAAGTAGATTCAAGAAACAAAGAACACGGATTGTAATCATCCTCGAGTTTAGTCACCACTGTGGAGTTATTTTTCCAGTACTGAAGAGAACCACAACTTTTAGTATCGACTGACGACCAAGCTAAAAGCCAGAACAGCTACCATTCGAACTGACTGACTGTGTCACTCCGTTTAGCTGAGTGGTTATCGACCTGAGATAAGCTGGTCCCAAAGTTAAATTTTGTGATAAAAGTTAAACGCAATTACCTTGTTTCAAATACCGTAGTCGTCTTTATATGAATTACAAAGCCATATTTGTGAAATGAGCACTCCCTTTTCTTCTGTAAGCTCAGGAGAGGCGCCGTGCACAAGACTGTTTAAAGAATAATTTACATGCCGTCCACTTTTATCTGCGCCACAGAGGGAAAAGCGGTGTTACACCAAGTAGGTACCATGCGCACAAACGTTATTCTATTAGAATACCTTGAATACTGACCCAAGTGCACACAATGTAAGCGGAAAGACAGAGCTTTTGGAGAAGATTTAAGTCTACTTAGCGAATGTCCTCCACAACAGTGTTACTACAGACGCTACTGCACGTGTGCACTGAAACTCAAAGTGGTTTAGCACACTTCTGTCAAATGGATAAAAGCCTCGTGTCTGTCAGTGCCGTTGGTGAGCGCATCGTGTGATCTCCACAATGGACCAAAGGTTGATGCCGACCAGATACCAAATGGTTGTTGGATTTTGATTAATGTAATCACAGGATACCCAAAATAGGCTGAGCAGCTCCCATAATTATAATCGATCGGCTACAACATTCTCCAAGTGCCTAGCTGCCACGTTAAGCTAAAGAAGCATGAGTGCATAGTGGTGTCAGGTAGGAGTCGAGATGCAGAGGACGGGTTCGAAACACGGAACTTCCGTTTGGTAAGCTCCCATGTTAACCACTTAGTTATCTCGAGCTCCCGCAGGGTAACAAACAATGTCCTGCGAAGCGTGTGTACTCCGCGTAAGATATACTCATTATTCATCATCCAATAAACCCGCATTATTCCCTGGTTCAGCGCCTGATGGACCATCATCACGTAGAACAGTCTGGTCAATTTCCCACGCCTGAAAACTCAAACGAGAAATTCATTGGCTTCACTTGGGTCAGTCTGAACGGATGGCATCCTCTATCCAACAGGACATAATGCATTAGTACTTGCCCAGTTTACAGCAAATATAGCCTGGCATAGGGTAAGACAGCTACGGTGGTCTTCCAGGTCACACTCAAGGCGCGGCAATCTGTGTTGTGGTTTGTGCGAATCAGTGCCATAGGCTGTCGATATTACGCAAAGTCAATTACTCAATCTACCGGTGTATGCGATTCCACGGGGAATCATGGATAACGTACCGCAACTCACTCCATCGACTCTCTAATACTCGGTTTTGAACAACGAATAGTAGTGGACAGGGTCTACTTGTAAAACCAACAGTCTCCAAAAAGCACAAGTACCACGAAGCCGTTTTGTTTTGAAGACCACAAAACAACTGCGTTTGCTACACGGGCAAAAGAAAGAGACAGAGCAACACCGAGTTTCGACTCCCGGTGCCTTAATAAACATGAAAATCATAAAAGGCGCACATGAAAGACTCAAATGACCCAGAAAATCAAATGTTGCGGATTGAATGCGAACCTGGTGAGTGCGGTTGAATAGGGAAATTGAGAGTACAGGAATGTCAACAATCGGAAATGAGGGACTTGTGCGTGGCACTGTGAAACTCAAGTAGTATTAGTGTCGTTCAGGTCAGTGGTGGCTTTGCTTTGCAGTATGGGATCTAATGAGGCGAATATGTCATCAAGTTGAGAAGCGGTCTGCATTGACGAGGCGTTCTGAAAATCATGGCGAGTGTATCGTTTAGCGCGAGAGACAGGAGCTGTCAGCGCATCTAAATCAACCAGCGGTTGGTTTGTACTGGTCTTTAATTCAAGAATGTCGGTGGTAGATGAGTGCGAATCTGGTACGGCTACGATTCCAGTTGCGTTGTCGGTGGTAGAAGTATCTCCCGGTAGTTGATCAGTTGTTGGTCTCTGCAAAACGAAAGGGAATTCACTGACTGACACCAGACAGCACAAAAATCGAGGACAATAGCGTAACGCATGTATCGGCTTACCGATTGAAGGATAGTCCGCAAACCAAGTAGGTTGGCGCAAATAGTGCACACTAAAAAGTCCGTAGACGCTAGGTGTCTTCGCATAATCTTGTGTACTACAGTGCATTGTTTACGGATCATCATCAGAGACAAAATCCATGCTGACACTCATGCTTCACTGCCGTACGATCAAAAAGTTCATCTTACTGCCTTAGAGTGAGAAAAGAGTGATTTAGCACAGGCCTCCAAGTGTTAAACCATATAATTTGCACCACTGACGCCACTGACATCGGTCCCCTAGTATTTCTTGCAACATCTCCAACCAAGCGCGGGGGGCTCATGGAGACTCCATCCTAGGAGGCGGACAGCACCCAGACTCTTCGTAATCTCTTTCACATCCTTCTGCCAATTCACACGGTTTCCGACATCCAGAGGCTAATTTGGCTATGAGACTAGCTTAAATGTGGCGTATTTTCGGTCATCAACATTGACAGCATAAAATCTGCGTTCAAAACTGATGCTTCTCTACCGTAATTTCAGTGCATAGCTTTCAAGAAAATGAGACAATAGAGATACCATCGAGTTGGTTATTGTTAAGCAGAGCTAAACAGAAAGTCACACGAAGTCTCCGCGTATTGTTAAGCCGACGAGTACACTGATATTGAGAGAAATGTTGGTAGCTCAGGTTGTACACCGAGTTTGGCAATTTGATCACAGTGTGGTCACCATTTAGTAGACTAGCGGAGCGTAGTGAAGGCGCTGAACAGTAAAGTGTTCGTACTTATGTATGTCTCTTTGGCTGGAAAAGACTTCTGGTTGTGACAGGCTGTTCGGATTATCCTGTTGGTTGCCTAGTTGGTTTGAGCGAGCTATACACTCCAGCAACTAAACATACATATATTAAGTGAAAGTTGGGTTAGTACTAGTTACACCACACGGGACTGCCGGTCTGCAGCATTTCGCCGGTGTGGACGGAGTCCCAGATGATCAACTGGGACATCGAGCCATATTCCGCTTTTATGTAAAGTACGTTTGGGAAGATACCTCCATTCTGAGTTTTTGGTGTCTTATTTAGAGAAAAAAGACATCTACCCGAGAGGAAAATTCCACACTTTTCAGTTGATTTCTAACGGGTGATCACATCACATTTGAGGATAGTCTTGGATCACCGAAACGTCACTGTGCGAAGTGAAGTCTGGAGAAGTTTGTGAACCAAGTCCCAACTCCCCGCTGCGAATGGTGCCCCAGAACTGCATGTTCGTTGACCGAGAATAAAAACAGTAACACGCCTTAGATGATTACCTACTCGGTACATTAGAGGAGTTTCGGTGAAGGGACTGTGTGTCAACAAGTCTTGTGTTGCCTTTAGGAGTTAAGATTCACTCCTAGAAAACACATCTTGCAGTGGTACTATTATATTAGTTCTGACCAATTAGGCATCGATGAACGCTGTGATGAGGCTGAACTGCTTTTCGGTTTACATAGGAATTCGCTGAGTCAGACAGCAGCAATTATGGCTTTTAAGAAAAAGTATCAGTGACTGCATGAAACGACCAAGTCTGAGATTACCAGGGACCCCCACCAAGAAAGACGGTAATTTAACGGTCCTGGTTGTGGGCTTTGCTGTCAAGTCTATTGGATCATTTCCAATTAGGAAACGATCAACTCGTAAAGCCATCGATGGTAGAGGGTTCCTGGTAGGAGAAAGGTGATCTTACTAACATAAAAATCTGTATGGAATTGGACCAGACACTGATGAGATTTTCAGAGTTGATGATCGTCAAAAACGTTCGCTTTTCTCCTGCTCATGGTGATCAAGAAGTCATATTTAAGAGCAGTTGCACTACTGTAGACTTGACTATTGAAAACAACGTGGTGTCATGCCTATTATAAAGGACACTAACCAGACGGGGACAGTCAACCGGGCTAGTGATGGTTCCTGCTGGGATGACAACAGCTGGTCTCGGTGGCTGCTTCACCGACACCTTTTGTAGCCCGGTTACTATGGTCAACAGCAAACTCAGTTCCCCGCCTGAACACTGGGCCAAACAATACAGCCATGTGATGCCACATGAATAAAAATGACCAATAAGACTAATTTCACTCTGAGCCAAGCAACAAAAGAACGGAGAGGAAATACTCACAGCATAACCCATTTCTTTTAGCACACTCGGGAGGAGTTGATCACTAGAATCCGGAACAAGGTTGCTTGAGTGTTCAGAGAGTGGAAGAACAACGTCTTTGCCGACAGACCATTTGCCAACGACAGACATGAGCTCATTAACTCCGATGGTTTGATTGGAAAAGAGTGAATCCACCGGATTCGATGATCGCCGCTCCGTATTCTTCAACTGGGTACCGGAAGCAGATGGGACAACAGATGGGGATGCACGTCGCCGCGGTCCAACGACAACATCACGCCTCGCAACGGTTTCCACCGCCGCATGAGCAATTATACGAGCCGCGGTCACCAACTGTGATGGATGATTCAGGGCACCACGACGCTGCTGACACAACCGACCAGCAATGTCACATACATCAGCCACGCGTCCAAGCATTTCCGCATGTAGCAACCCAACGGAGGCGGTCACAAATACACCACTGAGTCCGGCACCGTATTCACAGACCACCGCGATCGGACGTAACAAATTGCGTTGCTGTTTATAGTAGCTATGGACGTGATTCACAAATGCACAGAACTGCTCTACGCTGGCGTCGGATGTGCCATCCGGATTTGTGAGGGTTGATTGGGATATTGGACCTGCGTAGGACAGATGAACCAAACTTCGGGTCTGCTGCGTTTCACGATTTTGGATTGTCAAGACACGTTCGGTCCAAGAGCCAGGTTTGGTTGTTTCACAAGTAGCCACGCTGCCGTTTGATTTGCAGCTGGAAGAATCACGACCAGGATCTTTAATGGCTTGGAGACGTATTTCGAGACTAGTATTAGGGACTTGAAATCGAGAGCCAACCTTATTGGTCGGCAGATGCGGAGGAATATGAAGAGGATCCGATGGGTCTCCAAATGACCCTTCCCCTTGCGTTGCAGAATAGGTGAGTTCGGAGAACGGGCTGTCTGGTCTGGGTAATTTTGGTGGAGAGAGCAAAACCGCAACTTCACAACCTTGCGACATAATCATTTGCCAAAAATCCGATATTGTTTTGGTCATTGGGGCCTGAGCAATAATATACCTTGGACACCATTCGCCCAGAGAACCGAGAAAATCTATATGACTGGCGTTGATGTAATCATTTTTACTGGATTCCAGTACAACACGGTTCACGTCGAATGGAACGAATTCTTGATGTCGGTTCTTCATTGGACAACAGAGGGCAGCGGCTTGTGTTGGCTTTTTACCTTTGAACAGGGATGAGCCAGCGTAGTCAGATGCCACGTTGAGCACCTTGCTCCATGACTCGTCTAGTTTAGTGGGGACCGTTTTTGAAATAGAGGTAACGGAAGAAAACTCACGCGCGGGTTCATTGAGGTTATCAAGCAAGGTGAGTAGGTTTTCTGTTACTGCAATGAAGCGATTCAGAACTAGCGGATCAGACAGTGGCTCAGCAGGCGGTTGCGGCTGCCGACCACTGAGAGATTTTTCAGTCAGCATCTTACTCATGGTTGATGTGCCACCTGCATCAGCCTTGGACGCAGATGCTGAAGCTAACGTAGATACAGTTGCAGGTGCTCCTTGGTCTTTGTAAGTGCGTTCATTCTTAGATGCAGAAGATTCAGCAATATCTCCATTCAACGAAGTCTGAGAGGCATATGTAGCTCGCAAGCGTGCCTCACGACGCTGCGCATCAAAATCCTCCTGAAAACAATAGACGGTACAAGGTAGGGGGTCGAAATTAACAGAGTTCACTGAAAGCATGCGTTCCTCAAGTTAATGGCTAAGGAGTATATTATCCAGCGAAACCCTGTAGTACTGATATTCGCTTTATCAGCATTCATGCTTTCCACCGCTTGTAGTCATCCTCTCCCCCAATGAATTCTGTTATTGCAATCTAAGATAACGCGACTACAACTATGCGGCAATATCCGTTGGGTAGTTCGCTAACAGTATGCACGAACTGTTGCAGGAAAAAAGCCGAGGGATGAACTCGGGTGGTAATGTGGGGTCAACAGTAAGACGTTACACCACAAACCACTAGGAACTAGAGTTGCTGTTTGACATCTGTCTTAACTGGATTTGACAGCCATGGCGCTAGTGCGCTTCTCCAGAGCTATCAGCATGCTCTACAGGGACACTTCCAATATTCAAGGTTAATGGAGAGTCAGTTAGTCAATAAATCACCTTAGAACCACGTACCAAAAGTTGCTCGTTCCAGATGCTGGTAATTTTGGGTACCGAAAAATGGGAGATCAGGGGAGGGACGGTATGGCATAAAAGGGCTCGTTGGTCTTTACGTGGCAAGCACCAAATGTCGGATAGAAAGCCTGTTACTAACCTCTCCGATGACGAGCACAGTCCAACGCTGCGACATTCCGCTACTTAACTGTGTAGAAAGTACGCCAGAAAACGGCTTAAGCCATGAAATACTCGAGCTCGAGCAGTTAACTCTATTCCGAAGAAAACTTGAGGTAAGCAGATCTGGGTTCCATAAAAATAGCGTGTTGACTACTGAAAAGCAGTTCGTTTTTAACATCCCATTGCAGGATATCCCTGAGTCATTTCCAATGGCGAAAGTTCCTCAATAGTTCGGCAAAGTGGCTTGCAAGCATGACGAATTCGTCAATGTTTTCCAAAAGGATGGACAGCGCCGTTAGAATGAGCTTAGGTTGTAATTTTGGGAAAATGATATCAGCAACCTAATGAATTAGGAATAAACATGCAGTGGAGTACACTAACGCCAAGATCACTTTGGGGATGAAAACAACTCACCTTTGTTAGCACACGCGGTTGGAGTGGAGCGGACTGATGTTCAGGTGATGAAGTTTGTGGAGGAGAAACTGGTGCAACTGACTGGTTGGCAGAACGGTTGTTGTTCGAACTGGTTTCTGGTTGGTGGCGTTGTAAAGTCGGAATATCAGATGGAGTGGAGACTGGAGCATCATAAGCAGTCTGTGAAGGGATGGATCCCCGTGGAACAAAGGTGGACGGTGCCGATGATTGCTGCGGCGGCATAGGTAGGCGTTGTGTCTGTCCTGGAAAACTATGATGTGTGTTCTGTGGTTGCGAAACGGAAGTAGGACCTGGTTGCCAGGATGAAAGCGGCTGAGGGGCCTGGATGGGAGGTCGTCCGTAGGGTTGAGTTCCTGGAAGCAGACCCGGAATACCAGATGCCAATGGAGGCCGCGGAGGATTTTGTGCAACAGTTACGGGGACTGGAGGTTGTGGAGGATATACAGGGGCCAATTCTTGTCTGGGAACCGGTGGAACATTTACGAGTCCAGCAGAAGATGGTTGGGAAAAATATGCTGGATGGCCCGAAGGTTGTATGGAGCCTGGATATGGTCTGATGCTAGTAGATACCGCTGAAGGGGGGACAGTCATCGGGTACGCATGTCGATCCGGAAGCGCGGCATGAGGAGGAAATAGTGGGGGGAGTGCACTCGTCCTTGGTGGTGGTTGGGTTCCCGGAGGCATTTGTGTTGATTGTGTTGGGAGAAAACGAGGACCACCATAGCCGGGCATATTTTGTTGTTGTGCAAGCTGTGCGTTCAAAGGAATCTGGCCCGATGGCAAGACTTTAGGCTGATTCATAAGACCAGATGGGAGAGGATGGCCCAGACCTGATCCAGGCGCGGAAACGTATGAGAAGGGTGGGTTTTGACCAGTAGGTCGCATCGCAGGGTAGGTTGTGGAAGGTTGCACACCCTGAAAATGGATTCACTTTTTTCAGTACATGAATGATAGAATACACATGGAGTAAAAACGCAACAAAAATCTCATCACAGTCCAAACTGAAAGAGAGGACATAGCGAGAACACCACACATATCCCACTCAGCGACACTGCAAAAAGCTTTGGGATTAAATTCCAAGGGAGAAACGCGTGAAATACCTCCGAAATGACCATACTTCTGGATCAAAATTAAACATACCATAGTCTGCTTACACTAGCCGCATGAGAGGACAACTGCCAATCGTGACAACAAAACTACATGCATTAGATCGCGGGGAGTAGCAGCTACATTGCTAGTACAATTTAGTGGGCTTGTCATTGTGGGCTCTTTGCGTACTTATGACACTTTCGTGCGTGGCACATGGCATTGAAGGTGCACTTTTGCCATTTAATCTCACACCAGACCCAGTATGACGGACGCTTTGTGCCTGATGTGGGAGTCTTGATTGTGCTAGCGCTTACCGCACCTTGAAGAGTACTCGACATTGTTTGTCCTTTCTTCGTTTGTTGGTCTTTACGCGCGTGTTTCCATACCAAAATTTTTACATACATTAGGAATCATCTCATCTGACTGGAACTGTTGGTGGCATGAATTCGAATGAGACGTTTCCCTCTCATATTATCTTGTTACCCTTTCGCATTCGTCGCCTGCATTCACTTTTTATGTTTGTGACCATGCTCTTCAAAAATAAATGACAAATTGTGTGGCTACAAATGATGATTGTATGTGAGCAAAGTCAACGAGACAAGCACTGGGACAAAGTCAAAGCTCGGTCGTATTGGTTTCAGTAGACGGCTAACCTTGACATTGCAAATCTCAGCGGGTTGCAAGGACCTTACTGTGGTCTAAACTATTGTCAAATCAAGTGACACTGTTTTATTGTTGTGTAACAGAGATATCACTTTTCAAAGTTCAATGCTAGCCTGTCATAAATGCTAAACGGTATCTGTGCTTCCTCGAAACATTTCCGCTAACGGAACTTTCCCAAAGTGGGGTTAGTGTTAGGGTATCACGCTAACATGAGGTTCGCTTTCCCGTTATCGTGTTGTGTAACCCACAAAACTACTGAAAGTATTCAGCACAACTCACCGGATCGCCAGGCGGTCTAGGAGTTGTAAGGGCGCTCGGTACACCAGTCTGGACAGGTATCGCTGATGGAGCCAAATGTGGATGTCTCTGTGGCGAAAACTGAGCCAGATTCGTAGCAGAATAAGTAGATGCGGTGTAAGCTCCAGGATGAGCGGCTCCAGGAGTTGCTATACCCGATGAAGGGTACGTATGTGGCAAAACACTCTGAGGCATGGTTGGTTGGGAAGTTTGAGGAGGAGCGGCGGAATTTGTCGCAGGGGACCAAGTGCGTACTGGAGGCATAGAGAACTTGGGGCTCGAGGGGTGGGGCCGCATAGATGCCATGTAGTCACCAAGTGTAGGAATGTGTCCACCAGTGGCCAGGCGTGGCCCTCCGGAGCCAGTAAAAGGTGGATTTGTGTAAGGTTGGCCGGCGGAGAGTGTAGCTAGTAAACGAATATCAAAGGCGATCAGAAGAAAACGAGGATCCCCCGTGCTCAATTTATTCAAACGAAATTCAACATGCGTAAGCAAACAGAGGAGACACTCTCACTTCATGGATCATTCAAAATACCAGTTGTACTAGCAAGGAACAATACACTGCGTGTATTTCGGAAGCAAATAAGGCTAAAAAAGGCTAAACAGTGGGCGCGATGCGGGACGCCGTATGTGCTTACGTGATGATTCAAACCAACCAAATCTCATCAGCCGCAGCGAGCAAACCCTGAGAAATGGTGCTTACGGTAGTCGGAAATCGATGTTTTAAAATCGAATAAAAACTATCTGTGTGGATCGACAGGATTATGTCAATTGAAAGAGGAGCAGGCGCACCGGCAAAAGCATCTAAGAGGCAATGTGGTTGAAATCCTAATATACCATTCTGGAGATGGTAATCTCTCTTTCTAAGAAGGAACAAGCTCCAATAATTTTACAAAGGAATCTGGCCCGATGGCAAGACTTTAGGCTGATTCATAAGACCAGATGGGAGAGGATGGCCCAGACCTGATCCAGGCGCGGAAACGTATGAGAAGGGTGGGTTTTGACCAGTAGGTCGCATCGCAGGGTAGGTTGTGGAAGGTTGCACACCCTGAAAATGGATTCACTTTTTTCAGTACATGAATGATAGAATACACATGGAGTAAAAACGCAACAAAAATCTCATCACAGTCCAAACTGAAAGAGAGGACATAGCGAGAACACCACACATATCCCACTCAGCGACACTGCAAAAAGCTTTGGGATTAAATTCCAAGGGAGAAACGCGTGAAATACCTCCGAAATGACCATACTTCTGGATCAAAATTAAACATACCATAGTCTGCTTACACTAGACGCATGAGAGGACAACTGCCAATCATGACAACAAAACTACATGCATTAGATCGCGGGGAGTGGCAGCTACATTGCTAGTACAATTTAGTGGGCTTGTCATTGTGGGCTCTTTGCGTACTTATGACACTTTCGTGCGTGGCACATGGCTTTGAATGTGCACTTTTGCCATTTAATCTCACACCAGACCCAGTATGACGGACTCTTTGTGCCTGATGTGGGAGTCTTGATTGTGCTAGCGCTTACCGCACCTTGAAGAGTACTCGACATTGTTTGTCCTTTCTTCGTTTGTTGGTCTTTACGCGCGTGTTTCCATACCAAAATTTTTACATACATTAGGAATCATCTCATCTGACTGGAACTGTTGGTGGCATGAATTCGAATGAGACGTTTCCCTCTCATATTATCTTGTTACCCTTTCGCATTCGTCGCCTGCATTCACTTTTTATGTTTGTGACCATGGTCTTCAAAAATAAATGACAACTTGTGTAGCTACAAATGATGATTGTATGCAAGCAAAGTCAACGAGACAAGCACTGCGACAGAGTCAAAGCTCGGTCGTATTGGTTTCAGTAGACGGCTAACCTTGACATTGCAAATCTCAGCGGGTTGCAAGGACCTTACTGTGGTCTAAACTATTGTCAAATCAAGTGACACTGTTTTATTGTTGTGTAACAGAGATATCACTTTTCAAAGTTCAATGCTAGCCTGTCATAAATGCTAAACGGTATCTGTGCTTCCTCGAAACATTTCCGCTAACGGAACTTTCCCAAAGTGGGGTTAGTGTTAGGGTATCACGCTAACATGAGGTTCGCTTTCCCGTTATCGTGTTGTGTAACCCACAAAACTACTGAAAGTATTCAGCACAACTCACCGGATCGCCAGGCGGTCTAGGAGTTGTAAGGGCGCTCGGTACACCAGTCTGGACAGGTATCGCTGATGGAGCCAAATGTGGATGTCTCTGTGGCGAAAACTGAGCCAGATTCGTAGCAGAATAAGTAGATGCGGTGTAAGCTCCAGGATGAGCGGCTCCAGGAGTTGCTATACCCGATGAAGGGTACGTATGTGGCAAAACACTCTGAGGCATGGTTGGTTGGGAAGTTTGAGGAGGAGCGGCGGAATTTGTCGCAGGGGACCAAGTGCGTACTGGAGGCATAGAGAACTTGGGGCTCGAGGGGTGGGGCCGCATAGATGCCATGTAGTCACCAAGTGTAGGAATGTGTCCACCAGTGGCCAGGCGTGGCCCTCCGGAGCCAGTAAAAGGTGGATTTGTGTAAGGTTGGCCGGCGGAGAGTGTAGCTAGTAAACGAATATCAAAGGCGATCAGAAGAAAACGAGGATCCCCCGTGCTCAATTTATTCAAACGAAATTCAACATGCGTAAGCAAACAGAGGAGACACTCTCACTTCATGGATCATTCAAAATACCAGTTGTACTAGCAAGGAACAATACACTGCGTGTATTTCGGAAGCAAATAAGGCTAAAAAAGGCTAAACAGTGGGCGCGATGCGGGACGCCGTATGTGCTTACGTGATGATTCAAACCAAAATGATCTCATCAGCCGCAGCGAGCAAACCCTGAGAAATGGTGCTTACGGTAGTCGGAAATCGATGTTTTAAAATCGAATAAAAACTATCTGTGTGGATCGACAGGATTATGTCAATTGAAAGAGGAGCAGGCGCACCGGCAAAAGCATCTAAGAGGCAATGTGGTTGAAATCCTAATATACCATTCTGGAGATGGTAATCTCTCTTTCTAAGAAGGAACAAGCTCCAATAATTTTAACTGAGTGTCCCGAAAAACAACAAGTTCTAGAGCATTCTTTGGACATTGACCGATTCAACTGCACTTCTCCCAAAGACCAAAGAAGAGTCAGCAGTACTTAGTTTACTAAGCACACTATCACAAACAGCGCTTGGGGCAGGCTAACAGAATGGGCGTCAGAGTATGACTGACGACAACTGTTCACATACCCACACAATCGGCACTTAGCCAGAGAGACCAACGTGTACGCAGCTGCTGAAATACAAAGAGTGGAATGGATAATTTGCGGATCAGGTTCCCCAAGAAGCAAGCAATTCATAGGACGAAATTCGCGAACTTTCACCGATAAGAGGAAACCGTACAACAGTTTTGAAAGTGGTCTGATGCGAGCGGTCTATATAACGTACAGACAAAATCACACATTATCCACACAGTCGTCACATGCCGCTTTCACGTGCATACGTACTCGAATTCTCAAGTTAATCAGCTGATCATATACTAGTCAGACTAATGCGCACTGCTGCATCTCAGTGATGAAAAGCAGTTAGGAGAATCGTGGTTTAAACCAACCAGAATAGTCAACCCACCGGATGGAATTGGAGGCGATGAGAAACTGGTTAATTTCTGTTCCTCATTCGTTAGTTTCTCGCCAATGTCCTTCAGCTCACTCACACATTCTTTTAAACGCGCGCCAACCTGTTCGTAAAACAGCAAGCCTTGCGAGCAGTTAGCGAGAAGGTCATCGAACGTTTGTCCCGAGGAGATGAGTTGTCGTATTTCTTCAACTCTCCTAAAATGGAAAAGTTCGAAAACCATACACGGGTGTTCAAAAGAATTGGGCCGGATGCCAGTGAGCGACACACTTGTAGCACGGACAAACGGCAAATTCCATCAGCTGTGAAAATTGAGGTAACTTTTATAACGAAAGCAGATTGATGTTGTCAGTATGCCGGGCAAAGTGGCTGGTGAACTGGGTCGTGAGTATTCACCGATGCGCTACAAGGAAACACGTTCAGGGAGCTGTTTGGTGTGGAAATTTAACGTCCTTTAGCAACAAGGTGGTCGATCTAATAGTACAGTAAATGGATGGGTTAAACGGTATACTACAGAAGCGAACCCAGAGCACTCAAACGTTTTTTGGACATAATCATCACCATCACCATCAGCTGTAAAAACAGTGGTTATAGCTGCCACAGATTCGTTCACCGACAATTCGGGGAGGTGCAGCAGGAAGCTATGCACTGATGCAGCTGGTAGATGGATTTGTCTACCACAACCGGCTCATCCGCAAGCATGGGGCTGAGGTTCGAGTTCACCCAGTCTTGCACTAGCAATTTACACTTTGCAGGGGTGAAGCGCATGTAGAACTGTGAGGCAGAATTATTTACATTATTTACTGTTGTCCGCATTGCAGGCTCAAGAAGAGCTATGCCGTCTGCGTACTCGATATGTATAAACGATTGCCCTGGGAGCGCCTCGACCCCATAGGCATTAGAGGCAGTCACGGTCAAAAGTTGGGCCATCGGAGTGTGTGCTTTTTGGAGCCGACCTTTTGTAACCCGTCATTCAACGGGGGGAGGGGAAGAAGCATAGACGCTTCCATAAATATGAACATACCAGTCGCCTAGGGGAACACCTTACTGTCTTCACACTCCCATTGCAGAGGACTGTAAGACTTTACCCACAGATCGCCTCGTGGTACGGGATCTGGCTGTTCTTGGTCTGACTGCTTCTCTTTGGCCTTCCTGGTATGGTTGCACCTTGTGGAACAAAGTTCCAGCCAGTGTAGTTCGCGGGATCATTGCAGCATTCAAGTCAGATCATCACCTCAAGCTGACAGCTTTAGGAGGCGGAACCATTCCCCAACTGCAAAAACTATCACTGAGTGACGCAGTTGGAACGATATTACTCGCCTACTAGACACCCTGAGGATGACTCCCAACTACGTTTAGATGGAATAGGTGAGCAATATCCATGATATAATGAGATCAAACTTCTGAATGAAAATGTGAGCCCATCCTATGATGGAAGTGCTGCATCTGTTTTGAATTACCGCATCAGGATCCTCAGTAAAACGGTAGGAAAAGTAACCGGCGTTTTGGCTTGAAGCCTTTACGGGGGCAAAAGGCTAGTGGTAATGAATTTACCATTCGGAAATTTGGTGGTCTGGCCGCCAGTGACTCCCATTGAATATTCTCGCACAGACTGGGTTCGTAATAACTGTCTACTTCAAACTATCGCGGATCTGCACAAAATATTATTCTTTGACATATAATCGGAAACAAAAAGTGAATACTTCTGTGAGACAGGAGCATAAAAACCGGTTAGGTACACAGAAATAGAACAAGTTTCGGACTTGGCTACGGAGTGGAAGCATGTGTATGATTTAGAGAAGTGAACCTAGTAGGCACGACGGTGATGTGAACTTCGTCTAACTGGTTGGTACGTCGAATTAGCACTTTCCTATGAGAAGTCATCCGAGGTATGTTCCGAACTGGGAGGGCAAGAAGTGATACACGCCATAAAGAAAGAAATTAAAAGCTAAGAAAGTCATCTGTTGAGTGATCCATAAATGAACTGGAAGACTTTAAAAAAACGGAGGCCGATAACCACTAAAAAACGAAAGCCTTGGACGATGAACGCATCGGAGCACTATAACCATCATGTGAGGCTGATATTTACTCATCACTGGTTGTGGAGTACACAACGCTCTTGGCTTTTCGAAGTGAATGCACTAAACCATACTATATAAGAGTTGTCTCAATCAAAAAACACTGGTTTGTTTCCTTACATTACTGACTTGACTCACTTTACCACCTGTGAGTGAAAGCATCAAGCATCAGAATGGAACGACCATCTCTAATAAGGAGGAACGCCTTGACCGGTGGGCTGAATACTTTGAACAACAAATGTCTTGGCCACCAGCCGGCACTCATCTACAGCCCACAGGTGAAGTAGAACCCTGGACGGTGAACGTGGAACCACCTACGGCCTCGGAGGTTTACGACTGCATATGTTCTCTCAAGCGCCACCGAGCTCCCGGTCCGGATGACCTTCCACCTGCACTGTTCAAAGACGGGGGTGAAGTCCTCAGTCAGCACCTGTCCGACTTGTTTGCTTGCATTTGGGAAAAGGAGTCTGTCCCAGACAACTGGGGAGAATCGGTGATAGTGCCCATTTTCAAAAAAGGGGCGCGTAGTGAGTGTGCTAACCGCAGGGAGATCAGCTTGACCCCGGTTGTAACGAGAATGTTGGCGTCAATTGTGCTTCGTCGCCTTACGGTGGCCCGTGAGATGCTGACCCGAGAGCAGCAAGCGGGATTCCGGCCTGGTAGGGGTTGTGTTGACCAAATCCTCACACTGCGTCAGGTGCTAGAACAACGACATACGGCTTACATTACTGACTCGACTCACTTTACAGATTAGCTAGGTTTGTTGTATCGTTCAAACTGAAGTTCGGAGTTATACGACTAACCTAAACAATCTAACTGCACAGCTGGTTCAAACAAATTCCGAATGACAATCAGTACAAGTACACACTTCAAGTATGTGTTCCATGTTCAGCTGTACATAGCCACCATGTCATTCGAAGGAAGCATGAGGGCAGAGATGATTCCGGGTTTCCCAAGCTTAGACAGAAACAGTCGGAATGTTGAGGTTGGAATGGACCTTCCGGTCAGTAATTTTGCGTCTTAACCACGGAGCTATCTAGATAAGGCGGAGTCCTATTAGGTTGCACAAACTTACTTCATACGCAGCTGTTGTAGTTCTATCGCTCGGGGGGCGAAGGATGCGTTCACATCAATGAGAGCCGATTCAATATTTTCTTGAGCAGCCAAGTTCTGCCGAATGAGACCGATCAGAGGGTCGTGTTTTTTCAAACGTGTGTCAAATAGTTTGTCCATTGTGGATTGATCCATGTCGGAGGTTAAAAGATCACCGGTAACGTCGTCACTATGCAGCGCCTGTCGTAGTTTGTCCACAAAGTCCGTACGCTGCTGACGCATCTCTTTCACCTTACCGAATAAGCGTTGGGCGTCATTTAGGGACTGAGATAATGCCGGATCTATATCAAAAACATACAAGGAAAAGGTCGTAGCAGTCCCGCACATAGATCCAGCTGCAAAGCGGTGACGGGTCAAACAAAGGTCTGAGCGGTAGCTCAACGTGACCTATTTGACCGCGTCAGGATTTGGTGCGATCATGGATGTACGACTGACAGGTTAAATGGGTTTAGACCAAAACAGCCTATTATAGTTAGGGAAACAAGTAATTACCGAACACAGCTAATAACAGTATGAACCCCAGGGATCAGTAAACAATACAGTGTACTTTTGAAACACAGCTGACCGATGAGTTCGATGACTAAACAAACAGTAGACCAAGCAATCTGGGTGGAAACTGGAACGAAGAAAGACATTGGATTGCGGCCACACGTTGTGATGGTGCGAAGAGGATCACACGGGTTCTCTGCTTAATACAGCTATTATAATTCTTCGGTGACTCGGGTGTCATCTTTAGGGGTCAGTTGGATCAGTAAGTTCTACTACACAGCTTGTGTTTGTGATCAGTTGACGGAGGAACAGTTTCCATGCTAAGTATGACGTTGTGGTGTGGTCGCGAACAGGAAGTTGATGTGGACGGAGATAAAAACGGGTAGACTGAGGTTCAGCTAGCAGATGTTGTAACCTAATCTGACACCGTGACTTCACTTTTTTCAATATAGTGATGTCGATCCCCATCAGGGCAGAAAAATGTGCAAGTTCATGCCGTAGAGTAGAACAAGAATGGGTGCAGTCGTCATGTGCTGGGTGTGATGGAGCGACACGCAGAAAAATTGCAAGTTCATGCCGTAGAGTAGAACAAGAATGGGTGCAGTCGGTCAAACAAAACTTCATATTTTTCTCCTCATCATGTGCTGGGTGTGATGGAGCGACACGCAGAGGCTGAAGATGGATTGCTCGCATTTTTCTCTACTTATCAATTACTCTAAAACAATTCCCTTGTGATTCACGAAGGAGAATCAATTGTCGCAAAATTTGGGTGTTGGATATTTCCAACAACGACTGTTACCTATTTTTCGAAGCTATCGAAATGCATTTGAAGATTTTCTAGGGAGATTAGAACGATACCTACAGGTTTATTAATGAGGTATGCTACCACTGAACAAGCATTTCCCACCTGAAACGGCACTGAATTTATTGACCAAACCCCATAGAAGTAACGGAATATTCAATCACTCCACAAACTTAAAAACCTGTTCTTGATTTGTAAGAGACGTGTTTAGGAACTGGGATTAAAAGATAACCGGATCCTCTACAGTTTGGTCTGAAAATCCGGATAGCTGCAAAACAGTGAAATGCGATAGCGTTATTCGCCAATGAGGAGAGTCGAGGTTGACTAAAAGGCCAAACGCCAGTGGATTCGACATCAGAAATGCGATTAAACCGAACACCAATAAAACTGGTCATCCCTGATAAATGAAATTACCGGCAATCAGTGCCTGTACGGAAGGAAGGGAGCTAGCAAGCTGCTCAACCGGTACAGCCAATCGCTTGATGGTAGGAAGATGCATTCCCAGTATATCGCGTTGCTGCAGATTTGACTGTTTGGCCTGGTTTAGCCCCCCGATTAGGCCAAGCAAGCGATCCGAAATCACACGAGCACGAACCGAAAGTGCTTTAAGTTCTTCTGTTTGTTTCACGGCCTAATTGGACAGAGAAAGGAAAGTAAACGATGCAACAATTTAGCATCCCTATGGTTCGGGAACGTGTTGGGAGAAAGAAGACCACTGTGGTGCATTAGAAAATCCAATACCAATTGGTGCAAATAAAGTTGATGGTCAACAAGGGGATGAAGACCATGCCAATTGACTGAAACAGCAATAGCACTTGCCAAAATCGCATCCAAACGAACTCGGAGATCATCCGATTGGGTTCGGACTTCTTGAATTTCCGAATCTAGGTCGATACTCGCCGTCGCCAAACCTAAGGGGGGAAACAACCGAATTTGCAAGTTATTGTAAGGTGATGGTCCGTCTCTTTCACTGTAAAGTACCGAATGATTGTTGTTCGATGGCATGAATTCTAGAGAAAAAGTAGGAGTCAACGATTCAAATAGTAGCGAAAACCAGGGAATAACTGGTATAGTTTCCAAGAAGCGCGACTTTTCGGAAGTTTAAGCACCACAATAATCCACTAGATGGACTAAAGAGCAGTGCTTGATAGGGTGAATGCGCAGCTGACAACTGGGTAGTCACGTATAATGTGTATAAGAGGAGTGAATCCATCAATATGTCTTAATTATTGTGACTAACCGTTTCGGGAAGATATAAGTAACATGGATTGCAGGTGTTTATATCCGATGGTCTCCGGCAGGATTTGCGAAAATCTTAATCCAGTCTTGTTCCTAGTATCAGGCAGGATAAACGGACTGAGATTGAGTTGACAAAGGTCTAAGAGGTCTCAAGAGGTTCGTCTAACCTGCACGCACCCTAAAAAGCAAACGGCCGGTTCCAGCAGTTGTGAAATCTAACTAGTAGTGCGATTAACTCACTGTGACCAGCATCCGAACTCCAGCTGTAATGGGTTCGCTGCCAGCTAACAGATAAAACACAACTGCCTTGACTTGAGGTTGGCAGTCAGTCACAATCACAACTAACAATGAAAAAGTCGGTTTTCCTGTTTGTAGTGTTGAGTTCAAACCAAGAACCAAGCTGAGAAAACGTCGTTATTGCAATTCATCAATCACATAGTGAAACCGCCAGCTCAAGATCCCTTCAGTAAGGGCCTTCGCCCCCTTATCAGTTCAAGAAAGCCGGAGAAGGTACTAGCTTACTGAATGAAACGTCTGTGGATCGAAATTAACCTTGGCGTCTCGACTGCTATTCTCTAGGCTAGGGTATCCTGCCACCACCCCAGCTCTCGTGTTTCGTTCGGGTGGCATGGCAGCTAAGCACCGAAAAGGTGTCACAGCTGAGAGATTACGATTCGGATTTGCATGTCGATGACAAGCAGTCGTTCCTTTGTTTCCCCCGAAATAAATTCTGATGTGAGTAGTTTAATCAGGTAAATATTACACCACAGCCATAGATGTGCGGTTTGGAGTGATCTTTTAACAAAGTTACCAAAAGGAAGGAAGACAGAGAAGGAAAACACAGAAGAACCAAATAACTCACTTTGCATCATCTCGGACAGCTTTCGTTCGGGACCTTGCTCAAGCGCACTAACGCGAGCACAAACATCATATAATTCTTGTGGAAGCGGTGGGTCAGGCAAAAGCATGGACTCTGGATCAACATCAATACTGGTCATGAATTCCCTGGAGAAAAGATGAAAGATAAACGATGCACACCGTGAAAGTAAACGAACTGCACAATATTCTCGTTAAGAGATGGTGAGTGTGGATCAACGCTACCGCTTGAGTTGACTTTGCATGCACTGACTTTCAACGCCATCCGCTTCATCATGCTGAAATGTCACTCCTCGAGTACTTATAAAAACAAGGTCTTGAACACAAACCTGTGAGCAGTGCCGAAAGCAAACAACACACACCAGTGCTGTAAACTCTCGTTTTAAACTTCAACGCGGTCAATACTTGATGAAACTGTGGCGGCCAGAATCAACGTACAATGTGTGCACAGTATATGGTGGACGGCGGTACAGTAGGAAACGTACATTTGTCTGATGCAACATTCCAGCGAAAGTGGTCATCCAATCCAATCTACAAATCATGCTCTATACAGATTTACAACTGAACAGTATCAACGACCGAGGAGCCTGCTAGACGGAAAGAAAACACTAATCACACGTTCGCCTGTTCAGAAGTGATAACGCAGGAGCGTTCAGCGCAAGCGGCCGGAGTACTGTAAACAACCTCGCCTTAAGTACCAGAGGTGTAGAATTCAAACGATCGGAGAGTTGCATTGCTGGTGAGTTCTGATAGATGTAACTTCAGAGTCTAGAATTTTCACGTTTTGGTGTGGATCAATTGGAACGGTATATAGGGGCAGAAAGCGATTCGCCCAACGACTGAAGTGGATGAGAATGAATTAAAACACCCACCAAAATTTATCGGTTGAATGCATGAATCGAACCGTAATTTCCTGAGAGAATAAAATACGATCTGTGTTCATTCTGAAATATTGACAGACTACAGCATTTGGTACCACTATAAGCAAACAGCATTCTGCTGTGAGAACTGTTTGTGCTGTTATAGGTGAAGCCCAAGAGTGACAAAAACTGCTGGTCCGGAACCGGATATAAAATATCTTCGTTTTAAATGGTCACGGATCTCACTAGATGACAGAGTGTGGTCTCCCTAAGAAGGACTACTAGTCGAAGCGATCACTGACTTCAAAACAAGCATTCTTTTAAGGAAACTCTTTCTATGCCTGACTGCAATTCCAGGAAGCACGAGGGATGAGACACTGTCAAGTTGACCAAGCCCAAACAGGGGAAGTCTAGATGCTGAAGTTGGGTTCGAAAAACGCACCTACCGGTTAGTTCATTTGCGCACGAGAACGAGTACATATCTAAAGGGCGCACTGATCGGAAAATTGTGTGAACTTTCATTTTCCTCAGCTGTAACACCTTTTCGGTGCCCAGCTGCCATGTCACCTGAAGGAAGCACGAGGGTTGGGATATTGCCAGGTTGTCCGAGCCTAGACAGGGGAAGTCGAGAGGTAGAGGTGGGGTTCGAACCACAGACGTTCCCGTCAATAAATTCGCGCTCTAACCACTTGAGTCATCTCACCCCCTAACTTCCATTTAGCACCAGCTTGAGTAGAATCGTTCGATATAGATTCCCATGATCGGCTAGGATGAGAATTCCAAGTTAGCACTAGCCCAAAGATGTGGATGTGCACCTACAGCTCCGCCTACAACTCCGGATGCGTTAGGGCTATCATGTCGAAATAAACACAATTTCGATGTGATGGCTTTCATTTCTTCCCAAAGTGAGAGTAAAGGAAACGGTGCATCACCCACACACAACATGTATAGTGCGCTCTCAGGACAAAGGATGACATCATGGTCGGTTAAGTCAAGCTCAAGCTACCTCTACATTCAAGTGGGCACTAAAGATGACTAGAGGAATCGGGTGTTTTGAATGTTCTTACAGGTCAGTGGGTTCACGAAACTAAATCGGTAGTTGGTGCTGGGCACAAAACTGATTAAGGTTGAATATCACGTTTCCAGTCATCTATAAAAAGATCTCGTAGGGTGTCAGTAGAGTAATCAACAGTATGCTGTACCATGTATCACACCATGAAAAGTTGGAATATCAGTAGGACTGAAAGTCAACTCCCTCCCTCCTTGACAGCGATCGAGCGTGACGTTCCCTTGCAAGCGGCCCTTCCAGAGGAAGAAAAGTGTACTGAAAATGACCCCACACTATTATCATTCTAGGATTTTTTTCAACAGATCGAGATAAGCTTTGGGGCTACATTATTAGGACAACAAAAATTATGGAGATCGACTTAATCAGTTGGCCGTATCTTACCCTATAGACTTCCTTCAGACTGCATGGCAGTTGTGCACTAAAATGCTGGCACACGTGTGAAGCCAACATGGTTCGTAAAACTAACGGAATTGAGGAGTAAAACGAGAACATAGACAGGTTGAAGGAAGTCACACCACTGACCTTATTTGCCAGTGGTTATTTCTACAGCCTCAAGTCACATTTAGTGTAGAAATCAATGGTCAATCCGTCCGCTGTGCACACAAACCAGTCGATGCGAACTGAAATGAACTTAATACTCGTTTACGTTCGGAATTCCACTTAGACCGAGTTCTGAAACAAGTGTACGGAGAAAATACCAATCGATTTTAAAAAGACTTACTGCAAGGCAACGTCCTTAGCGTCAACTTCGGAAGTGATACTTCGCAGCAAGGATGCTTTTCTTTCGCTGTAAACAGGGCAAACAATGAATGATCGGCAACAGAACAGTAACTCCTAAGAGAAACGAACAATGTGAAGAACTTGCCATTTCACCTTCCGATTTCAACGCTCAAGTATCGTTCAAGTGAACCTGTGCTCAACGGGTGAGAAGCACTGCGAAGCGTTTTGTTACATCTGATATGCGCACCTCACAAAGCACTAAACAAAACCAAACATAACACCTTCAGCTAACGGTGACTGATCACCACTTCATGGGTTCGAGAGAGCTCAACAATTAATGCGCGACATGAAGGTTCGTGGTTCGAACCCAACCCCGGCATCTCGACTGCTTCTGTCTAGGCGTAAGAAATTTGACAGTACCTCAGCCTTCATGCCTCCTTCAGGCAGCTAGGCACCCAAAGTGTGTTACAGCCGAACGATCATAAGAGTATTATTACCGACCACTAGTTTAAGTTGTACTCGGAAATAGTATGACGTTACATAGCCTTCCAACAAACATACACCTTCGATTAATCCGACTCATTTGGTACTGTCCGACTCTTCGAGTGAAGCAAAGTTGAAATTGGAAACGCAGAAAGAAGCAAACTATTTGAGTTTGACATTTTTACCTGAATTGTCCTTAATTACTTTTGACAGGGTGGTACAACACCCAATTAAAATAAAGCTCTGACATAGTCACCAGACCATTAGTGGCCGAAGCATACACCATTCCATTCATGTTACTTTAACCTAAGGCTACCGCGATTAGTAAAAACGGATTAACAAAACACGTTCATTGAAAAAGTCAGACAATAAATTACCTGTAAATGGAAGTTGCTTCCAAAGTTTTCATAGGGACTAGACTTTGGAAGATGTCCGGACCACGTACTTCGGGATCATTGTGGTCAAACGGGACACCCTTGACGAGGCAAGCAGCTGAAAATGACAAAAATATGAACATTCATCTGGGAACGTTAGGGAAGTGATAAAAACCGCCTGATCAAAGAACTGCCGTTCCTTGTAAGTCGCCAAAATTTCCACGAAGAAGCATTTGTCGTTCCAGCATATGGGATTCATTTGCAGCGACAGCATTCTCGTTTAGATACTCCTCTCCGCGTCTTGGCGCATTCCGGCAACTCCTACATCGAAAGAGTTAGCCAAACCAACCAAAATAGCGATGATAGAAAAACAGGAAGATTGTCTGTGCAAAAATGACGCCAGTACAAATTCCAAAAATCCAGCTACCATTCAAAATATATCAGGCGGAGTTGTGTACATCATGAAAGGTTGAAGGTGACAAATGGCTCACACGAGCATATCCTGCATGATTTGTTTTAGCGAGAAACAAACCGTTGTAAAGAGGATTTTACGATGCAAAATACGGGGGACTGAACGAAGGAAAAGTTGCGGCATCCGAACATTCTTAACGGTATTCGAATACGTCAGATATAGGCTGCAGTGGGTATTGTAAAGGATGGAATTCCATTTCCAAGGAATCCGAGGAGCATGGAAGCTACGGCTATAGCCTCAAAAAAGTTTTTAAAAAAACGGGTAGGTGGCCAGCATAGTGCAAGGATGCTCGATATGAGAGAGCCACCTGGGTCCACATGAATAACCAGAGAGGAAAAATCTGGACTGTATGATCGGCAATGGACACCGAACGAATAGACAGAATCATGATTAAGCAAAAGAATACCAATGGCATCAGAACTCACGTTTCACTTGTTCTAGCGAGTCCGCGCTTGGAACAGTTTCGTGATAAATGAAGTCATTGTCCTTGATCAGAGCAGTCAATCTGTGCAGAAAGCCAGAAGGAAAACAGAAAAGTCTTGATCAACCTTAAAGAATGACTGATGCATTAGACGGCTGACTGGAATGCCTCCGAGAATATTAAGTTGCAGTAGTGTGCTAAGCACACTCCTCACGAGAACTGTTTGGATGTGTGTGTGTGTGTGCGTATTCACCTTTGTTAACACCTGGGGGCTGTCCCACATCAGCCGACAGCAGATGACCTTGTTATGCTATCTTGCTCGTATGATGAGCATCGTGTCAAATTTTGTCAATTATTCATACACGCGACTTCTCTCTGGGTCGGTCCTGGTTCCTTGTCTCTCCGATAGCTGCTATGATTGAAATTCAGCAGTACATTAGTCAGCCGAGCAACCCAGTAACGCATCCCCTAGAGCAAACATTGTGGGACTCGGTGATGAAAAGTTGCCAAAATGCATTTGATCGCAGCTGATTCACTTTTAGAGGAACAGTGTACCACTGACCTAATCCTTTACATGTGGAGTAGATCTCAGCGTCCTTGAGACCTGAACAATTTATTCTGATAGTAAAGTGAGTACAATGAATGTTCCGTACATCAACACAACCAACAGAGGAAAATCACGAGTCCATGGACACATGGCCTCGAAATCTTGAAACAGAACTTATTGTTCTGCATCAGTAAAACAGCATAATGTTAGTCAGACGTGAATGTCGCCACGGTGATGCGGTCATACACCGTCTGTCTCCGTTCCGCGTATTTATGTTAGACGGCAGACTCACACCCACCAGTAAAACAACCGGCAATGTGTTATTGTACGGACATATGCACATGCTATGGTTGGCATGTTCTATTAGGTGTGAATTTGTGACAGTGATACACAGACTCTACCATCAACTGAGTTCATTTTATTCGAAAGTTGGAATTCTTTCGATTTTGCTGACTGATGTTGTGAACACTCAAAAGTTAGTTCTATGTGGTACTCACATGAAGCGAACTCAAGACGACACAAACAGTTTGATGCTTTACGGTAAATACTTTTACCAAGGCTTTGTACGGTTTCGTCAGGAAACATATCATCGTTAGTAACGGAACAGGTACCGGGTCAAGATGGCGAGATGGCTGTGGTTAGGGGTAAGACAGCACAATGGTTAGAGAGTGAATTTACTGACCAGAACGTCCGTAGTCCGAACCCGACCTCTGCCTCTCGACTTTCCCTGTCTAGGCTTCGGCAACCTGGCAGTATCCGAGCCCTCGTGCTTTCTTCTGGTGGCATGGCAGCTAGGCGCCAAAAGGGTGCTACAGCTGAACGAGTTTTTTTATAATATTGAATGACGCCCTTGCATCGTTCAGCACAGAATTGCGGTGTGGAAGAGGAGGATGACAAAAGCCTCAGAGAACGTAATGTTGCATGGTCAGGCCGTTTTGGACTGGTCTTGTGGTACTCACTACACGATTGTAAGTGATGTTTCTATAACCAACATACTCCATATCGATTAGATGCTCCGAGACCAAAAAAAGAAACAAATGAGGAAGGGAAGGAGCCTAGTGCTAGGAGAAATCAGGCATCTCAAGGTGTCTACACTTGCAAAAGTTCAACCAAGCAGTCGCGATAGAAACAGCGAACCATGCAACACCAAGCTCTTATTCTAAAGACCACATCTGGCTTTCTCGATAAAAAGTTGCGGCCTGTAAGGCAGCAAAAGTGGCGTGAAGACCTTCAAATAGCTAACTGGTTAAGCTGTAAACCAGTGAGTCACATCGCTTTTTAACTGCTCCTCCTTGAGCCTGGGCAATTTTATAGCTACTCAACCCTTGAGTATATTTTCGGCAGCCAAATCCAGAAAGCGAACAAAAAACTGAACGACTTCTTGTTGAACATGGTGGTGGATCTGGAGGTTATTTCGTCCACCTTACCCACCACCACAGGGACGTCTTAGACTAGTTCGGCTACAGAAATCACGTCTCTGCTTGTTCTGCGAACTTGGCAACACACTTATTGACGGTCAGTAAGTGAATACCTCCAGACAGAGCTCTTGATTAATAAGGGGGTAATGAGTGAATGCTATCGAAAAATTTTCGGTAGGATTACACAGGTGCGGATTGCAAAAGATGAAAACTCGTAAACTATTTGTGAAATCCCTATTCTGTTGAGCTGGTCTGTAAATGGCAAACGCGCATCCAGATCATGTGAATACCGCGACAGCAAAACGAAGAAAAGACATTAGATCCCTGGCAAAACCACTAACCCACCGCTACGCACAACTACGCACTGATGATGTCACCTCGATTGGTGATGAAACGTTTGCAACCAAATTGCCCAGCTCAGCGAACAAGCCAACGACCACATTAGATCCCAATAAAATATAGATAGAACCGAGTGACTTACTTGGTCTGAAAGACGCTACTGACATGTTGGATGTTGTTTCTCAAAGGACCACCGGGGCTAACAGGGAACGGTTGTTCCGCCAAATCTTTCACATCCTTCACCAGCTTCTCAGCCTCACCAATGCGTTGAACCGCAACCTGAAACCACGCAATTGCTCGTCCATACATTTTATTGTTTTCTTCGTTCTGTCCGGAATAATATGCGGCTAGGGAACCGTAATAAACTCCCTTTACTTGACAACGACGGCGCCAATCCTGATGTACAAGGTCGAGGGAAGAGGGAGTTAAACACATGCACAATTGAAATCAAAAAGCTTGAGCAGGACTTGCGGAAAAGGAATACAGGATAAACGGTTTATTAGATCCAGTTAACGGAGACGATTGCCACTGAGCACGAAAGGTTTTTTTACTCACAATAGGGAGTGCAAGTACCAAACAAGTAGAAGCGGTGAAAAATAAAATTGTGAGAAATTTTGCGTCCAGCTGAACGCCTAAGGTATGCGAGCGAAGCCCAGTTGTATTGCCTAGTTCGTACATCAAGTTCCGTGTTCCATGCACATGGGCCTAGGGTGAGTCACATGGGTGATGCGGGCTACCAGATAACTCCGCATGTGGGGTTCAGCTCTTTGGTTGTACCCACTGAAAATGGGAAAGATGGTGGCTCTTGAGCTGAACCTTCTTGACCAGTGTCCGACATTGTTCCAACAGGTGTACATCAGATACGATGCGTCCAGGTGGATACACATGCGGTTCAACGCATACCGTATGTGGGATTATCCCTAGTGAGAGGGAGTTCGTGGGCGTAATTTGAAGTGACAGACCAACCCGCAAACAGATGCCAGTCCACTATGTTACAAATAATGTGATGAGATTTTAGACAAACTTATCTGTTCTTTTAACCTCTGGAACGAAAGCTGGAGAGAACATGAATGGCAGTCAAAAAAGAAACAGATAAAAGTCATTTACCTTAGCATCAAGGAAGATCTACAGTAGCTTTTCTACTAAACAGAAAAGGCTCAGTAGAAGTGGTGTTGATTACATGACGTAGACTGTTGCGGCATCAGTCGAGCATGCTTGAGCTTACTGAACGGTTGAAGTAGCCGTTGTTAGTGGTTGCAGGGTTCTTTTTCCTTGAAAGTGAAGAGACGCCAAAATAAGTGACGGTGTCAGTTGGATCAGGAGAAGTGTTCTTCTTTGGAAACGTGAGAGTTCGGCCAAACTCTTCTGTTCCCAGGAATCACAATGACTTTTGTGTCTCGGGCGTTCATCACCATACCAGCTCATCCCAACTAGGTACCAGAAAGTTGCCTTTTGAGGTGGGTCTAACTTTGCACACGATCCGATCTGGGTGACCAGTATTCCGTAAGCTCAGTGACCACCAGGAGATTAGTGAATGACACAGATGCGACTGTGTCGGAAGGCACAATCACAATTGCTTTTCAGCAGTTTCGGAACCACATGCACCAGCTCTGAATGAAGTGAAGTGGCTCATTGATGACCTGAAGGTCACATCCTACGATATAAAACTGAGTCAGCACATTCTCCCAAAGAACCCAGTCACAAGTGGGCAGGCAGCTGGTCAAGCCATCACCATCGTCGACAGCATGACATCAGTGTTCAACATTGACGCTTAGCTGCCGTACAACGATTATTAATTTAGAAGCCTATTCTGAAGAAAAAAATAAAAAGGGATGAAGAGGGGACTTAGTGCCTACGTCTCCGGACACTCATTCAGGCAATCTGGGTAGACATTGACAACAAGAACGCCAATGACATCGATTGGCAGCCATATCTTTCAGCGTCTCCAACCAGGAGCAGTGGGGATCAAGTGGTCCCCATCCTCGGAGGCGAGTAACATTGACAGCACATAAACCCTTCGTAACCTTTTCAGAAGAGCTTGGTAAACAATCGGTAGTTTTTATTTGGGCAACGTTTCGTAATCTTTTTCATACCCCTCTTCCGGGTCAAGGGTTGGCCACCTCCTTGCTTCCGCCATTCTGAATTGGGCACCGGAAACACTGGTCAAGCCAGGTCATTTATATATTCAGGCTGCGCGTGAGCTTTTACTAAACATTGGCAAGTGACAATGAAATTGAGAATCTACAAACTGTCAGAGTGGGTGCTCCATAAACTGTGACAACAAAAAAACACGAGTCAACAGGCACAGGATGGTATACGAACTGAAATTAACGATGAGATCCACTGCTATGATGGAGCGTTCATCTGTATATGGGATGAGGTAAGTAGGAAGAACCGATGATACCAGCACCAAAAAGATATGCATCGGGGAAAAAACACTGGAAGCTCCAGCATCAATTAATGGTGTTCCAGTTTCTAGTAGATCTTTTCGAATCTCCGCTGTGATCGCAACTCACATGACAAATACTAAGCATTTAAACTCTGGCTGATCACGACCTAACCAGAGACGAAGCATAAAGTGTACATTGTACTCACAGCGAGTGACAGTTGCCTCTTTGAATTTCTCAAACGTAGCAATTTCTCACGGGCAGCAAGCATGAATCGGCTAAATGCTCACTGGTGGTGGTGAGGTACTTACGAGGCTAATTAATGAGCATTTACGGCTACCAGCCGCTGGGTTACCTGTCAAATTACTGAGACTAGGTGACCAAAGTAGGGCCTCCTCTGTTGGACCCAGTTAGCTCGATGCCTACACAATCCGTTGGAAACAAAATGCTTGAAGACCAGTGTGAGTTGCTATGCGCGCACCCATTCGGGCTGAAGGGAAGCAAATCTATACGCAATAGTATCAACAGGAACAGGCATAAAGATCCATGGTATGGAATCGGGTGAACTTATCGACACGACCGGACCAGTGACGACCGAGGTACGGTTTCCATGTAGTGGCCCTATCTTTTCAAAATTTGGTTAGTCTAGGGATATCAAGTAGGCCAGACAGGTAAACAGGATATGTTAGGGGTACTGGAAGATGCAAGGTTTGATGGCTAATCCAACTCTGTTCCAGTAAGTCAGTCAAGACTAGCCACAATGATTCTCGACTCTTCTGCTTGTCCTCGATAAGGAGGAAGTAGGCAAGTTATTTTTATACTTTTCAGCACAACGCTTATAGGATGAAATCCAGATTCGAAATGTCCTGACACATAAAAATAAGACACCAGTTCTGATGGATGTGAAAGAACACCTTAAAAATCGAAACGGGTATATTACATTAAATATATCCACACGGTTCATCAACGACTTACTTTTTGATACTTTGCAGGGAGGTTGGCAATGACAGAAGGTAACGAAAGTTCAGCAGACGCATTCTCGTAGGTTTGTGCGAGATACTGCGTCAACTTTGCTGTGATATTTGCCGGGCGGTCATCCAGTACAGATTTCTCTACAATGCACTCTTGAGCCTGGGCCTGAAAATGAGGCAAACAAAAACAAAAATAGATTGGTCGATTAACGTTTTGTATTTTTGTGTATTATCGTGGTCGGTGTCCAGATCCTTATAAAAAACCCTTTCGTAAGAACGACGAAGCCCACTAGCCACTGTGGTGCACACTTCGCAGACACCTATCAAGTTAATGTTACACCTGATGTCTCAGTGGCTCAGTGGTTAGAGTGCGAATTTACTGACCGAAAGGTCCGAGGTTCGAACTCGACCTCTGCCTCTCGACTTTCCCTGTCTAGATTTGGGCAACCTGGCAGTATCCCAGCCCTCGTGCTTGCTTCAAGTGGCATGGCAGCTAGGCGCCGAAAGGGTGTTACAGCTGAGTGATGCGGCAGTATCTTCAATCAGATATGGGAAGACGGTGCTCAGGAGTGATTAGTGAATTGGGAAACAACGGAAGATATTGCTCCTTGTTTCTCTACACACCAAACAATGAATATTGACGATACCAACATACTAGAAAAGCATCATACGAAAAGGTGGGCTGCAGATGTCAGTTTCAAGAAAAGAATGAAATGTTTCTAGTATTGCAACCACAAACTCATAGAATCCGATTGGACTTCCCAAGTTCATGTGAGAAACCACATGACCGTAGTGCACTCAATGCCGCAGAGCTAGCTCCAAAGTAGTGATGACGAAGAAATGAGAATCTTGTCCTTCGCGCTAAGACTAAAACCACGAACACACAAATTAATCAGTTTGGAAGCCTCGTGAAAAAATAAGAAGGGGTATGCTGCTGCTTTGCTACACATATTCAGAGGCGTCCATAAGCCTAAATCCCGCAAGTCAAAATAGAAGCCGACACGAGCACAATGTCAGCGAATTAGTCTCCAACTCTGCATGGGTCACGTGAAGCATCTTTCGAGGGGAAACCCCACACAGTGCAGATAGACAGACATTAGCGCTCTTGAACTTCTGTCACGGGTCAGATCGTCCAACTTCATGTTTACTCTATGAATCAGTACATCAACCATGGAATGAATCTATCTGATCCGAGTGGTATACGGTAGCAAGCTAACTACTGAGGGCAGTAATATTATTTTCTGCGTGGCGTCAAATCACCCAGAAAAATGACATACTCCCAAACCAGCCATGTCCCCTTGACTACGTGCAGCTGTAGCACGCTTTCGGTGTCTAGCTGCCATGCCACCCGAAGGAAGCACGAGGGCTGGGATACTGTCAGGTTGCCCAAACCTAGACGGGGGAATTCGAGAGGCAGAGGTCAGATTCGAACCACGGACCTTCACCAAGAGCCTTTCGGCAATAAAATTTACAGACAGGAACGATGTTCTGTGCTGGGGATAGTGTTGTTGAATGTACTGCTCGTACAGACCAACTTTTAAGTGACAAGAGTAAAAAGTGTCTAAGATAAATGCACCTATCTTTATAAAACCAAGAACCCCAGCATATGTCCCATATTCAATGAAAATCAAAAGCAGATCCACAGAAAATACAAAATAAGGCAATATACTAGGCGAGCCGCCTAAAAACCCCTAGTGTACGGGTGATCAAATCAAATTCAGAATAAACATACTGTCATAATCATGCTTAGGGCCCGAATTAATTGGGTGGTCAGATCCGGCGAGACTCCAACCATGGAATGTCGCTCGTTTATCGCATCCAACGCCCAAGCGGCACATTGAAAATGTGTGCAGGCAACCTTCATGCTCTGAAAGAACCACGGGAGAACAATTAGGAAAGCGAATACACAGGGAATAACGCCTGTATATAGCATCTAAGCACTGCGAACGTGGAATCACGAAAAAGAGTCCTGCGGACCACGAAAATAAGCACCGAAAAAAACTAGTTAAGTAGCAACTACTTAACTAGTTTGGCCGACTCAGTCAAAACGAACTGAAGCTGCAGAATCACTGTTGTGTAGGAGTGGGGTGCAGAGAGGGAATGAAACTCACAGAGATAGAGCTCACGACTAAGAGCGCTTAATGTCCTATCAGTTAATAAAATATAACAATGTACCAACACAAAAATGTTAAACTACCGACCCAAGTCTCGTTGAATTAACCCCGCCGAACGAAAAACAACTGCAGAAAACAACCCAGTTTTAGATGATGGTGCTTCTGCGACATCCTAGTATGTAGTACCAAGACAGCCTCACTTATTGCGATGGCACAATGTGGTAAAACTTCAGTCTATATAGCGATTAAGGTTAGGGTACATCTCCGAAGTCGAAGACCCGCTTTGGGCCACGGATTCAGACTTACGTCAACAGGAACATTTTGTGTTCGTGAGACGGTGAGCTGCCTGTAACCTTCTCCCAAAGACGGATCTTGTGAACGCAACCTTTCGGTGACCAACTACCATACCACCAGAAGGAAGCACAAGGCCTGGGATACCGCCAGGTTGCTCAAGCCTAGACAGGGAAGGCGGGTTCGAACCACGGACCTTCCGATCAGTAAATTTCCACTCTTATCACTGAGCCATCTGAGAACAACAAGATCACTATGTTTACATGACTGTAGAAACGACGAGTCTGTTTGTTGCGGTGGCACAGGTTTCGATCGAGTGCGTCTTAGAAGACAGAAAGACGGCTGCTTTAGAGTTGCAGACAAGGGCCCAGATATCATATTGCTAGGTGATACGCATACTCAGGTTGCTTGACTAAGTCTAGAAGTCCATCGTGGTGACCGATAGGCCGTTGGAAAGCAACTTTTCCATTCATTCCAAGACGACACATGATCATGGCAAAAGCACCAACACTGTGTTACTTGGAGGCCAAAAACCACAAACCAGCCATGAACTCAGTCGGACCGGCGGAACAGTCAGGGGCGCCGTTCCTTCTGGAGTTAGCTTGATCCCGATCACGAACTGTGTAGACACACACACACTAATCCGCTTTGAAAATGATGCAAAACTTTTCAAATCACCACCTCCAAAAGGCCTCAATTCTGGTATTACTTTCGTAGCCAATCACCATACTTGTTCTAGTTATAACTTTTCGCCCTGAATCATTCAGCAGCAACACCCTTCCGGTGCCTAGCTGCCAAGCCACCCGAAGGAAGCAAGAGGGCTGGGATACTGCCAAGTTGCCCAAGCCTAGACAGGGGAAGTCGAGTGGCAGAGGTCGGGTTCGAACCACGGACCCTGCAGTCAGTAAATTCGCCCTTTAGCCACTTCAGCCATCTCGCTCTTCATACACGGGAAATAAAACCGGGTCCCATATTCCATGACGGATGGAAAAAAGCAGTCAGCATTTTGAACAGCGAAGCCCATAACACACCGTAGTCTTGGTCTCCCAAACAGAACGTGTCTTCATCTTAAGATCGCTCAAAATAACGACACCTACGTGAAAACCTCAGCCTCTCGTGGTAACAACCGACCATTCACGGAATACGTAGCTTCACCCGGTGTTCCGCAAATGGACAGATGCTGACCATTCGTCAGGTTGGTCGGTAGATCGACCTCCGCCGCCCGATCTTCTACCCTATTCAGTGTCCTGGTGTGATCTGTCGTTGCTTCCTCCGATGCGGTGTCGCACTACCAGAATAGCCGTAAATATCGAGTTGCGTTGGTTCAACCTCTGAGACAGATTGTTTACGTGGATGTTGCAAGTCCCAGCACTGATCACTGGGACACTCCAGTGCCTGCTGGCAGCCGTTATGAAGACTATCAGTTCACCGTAAATTCGTAGTGGAAGTCTCGCAAGAAGCCGGCTGTCCAGTATGTTGAGGACGGCATAAAATCACTTTCCTTTGGAAATCAAGGGGTGTCGTGGTGCACACTACTTTACTGCTTTACTGAATTCCATGAATAGGGAATCCACCTGATGACCTGAACCAACTGATGTTCTCCGGTATTCGCACTTCAGCACATAAAAGGTAAGGCAAATTGAATGCGAATCCAAACCGCTGAAGTCTGTAGGACGTTTGTCTTGATGCGGAAGCCTTTTTAGGTTAACTGATCGATAGCTAGCCACGTTGGGTCTGTCCATACCTATACAGAACGGTCTGATGACGGATCACTCGGTACGCAATCCCTGCAAGGTCTTTTATAAGAAATACGTCCCAGACAGACGATTTCTGAGAAGTTTCTACAAACTTCTTGCGAGTAAGAAGAAAAATAGAACACCTGCAGCTGTTTTACACTGATGCATAGAAGGCTAAACTCGTTCAACTTATTGGAACACAGAGCCAGCTTGTACCAATCCTGAATAAACTATCAACTTTAAGCCGACATGAGTTAATGAAGCACTGCATCGTCAACGGGAGTACATCACTGTTCATACACTGATGCCTTTCTGCCGCACAAACATAATTTATTTGAAAACCTTAGTGAAGAAATATCATTAGATGCCTCACCTCCAGACACTCATACAGAAAGTCAGGACTGAAATGACACCGACTATAAGCCATGCCTTACAGCATCTGCCATCATACACAATGAAGATCACGAGGACCCCATCCTGGAGGGCAAGTCGCGTCGACAGCAATTGGGCTTTTTATAACATCTTTCATACCCATCTGAACGGTTAAAGGTTTGCCAACTCTCTGCATGCGCCACCGTGAATTGGGAACGGAAAACAGCACCTTCCGGAAAATGATAGTTCGGCTGAGTTGTTCCACTGGAGTCCCCGTACACAACCGAACATCCGCAAAAGGTGATGGACGGTACAGCTTTCGTTCATCCAAAAACAACTGCGCCTTCTCCTCTTCGAAGACTAGAACGACATCGTGTACATGTTACAGATCGATAAGGTTTTGGTCAACAGGTACATGAAAACCATCCATTTGATAGCATCTTAGGGTTCGCTTATCACGACGTTTATGAAATTAAGTAGGAATAGAGTGATCATTCCTGCAGGACACTGCTTTGAGTACGGAAGCCTCTGGCGAGCTTTCCGTATACTCATCCGTCCAGAAGTTTTAGGTTAGAACACATTGCGTTCAGACTTCTAGGGCGTTCCTTGCCGAGCAAGTGTGTCAAGAACACACCAGTCGACTGAGTCAAATATGCCTTGGAAATCTAAGAATACCAAAATTATGGTCCGTTCTAGCGCCTAATAATGTTGATATTTTGCCAAAGAAACCCCCACCAAGCGGGGATTCCACTTGATGCTCTCAGGTTAGTGCTTCACAGATCAACATAAGACGACGGAAGACAACTGACAGCGAGACACTTGCTACGATAGGAGTTGAACTGGATTCCCCATGAGTGCCGCATTCACTACGGAACTCCCCTTTGAAAAAGGACACTATCGCGATTTTCCCCAGTTGTCTGGGGAGTTTGCAGTTTTCAGATGGAAGCAAGTAGACCGGACAGGAATTAACCCCACACAGTCAAAAGTTTGGAGGCCCGCGGTGTTAGGGCGTGAGAGACAGTTCAATACTACTTAGCTACCTACTGCATTCATATTTTCGTCAAAGGCGGAACGGGGCGAGATTGCCTCGAGTCGATTTTACAATATACCGAAAGGAAATCAGTGAGGATTTGACTATTGTCAGCCACACGAGTACGCAGAAAGCCCGAATGACGAACTTACATCCGCATCAGGCCTTCGCTCTTTTACTCCAAGAATGGAGTGCAAAGCAGCAACATTATACAGAGTGGAAGCTTCCTCTAGGCCAATATCCGGCGCCTCAATGATACCTCCGGTGAAAGCATCACACCTTAATAAGGTAAGAGTATTAAGGAAATTCCGGCGTACCAGCTCCACAAAACAGCCGTCCCCTCGTCAGCGGAAAACTGAAATCTTCCCTTTAGAAGTTGCAACTGTGCGTAGTATCGTTTAACCTTCGAAAGACCGGCATAATCAATTGAAGGATCAGTCGCCGTCTAAAAGTGGCAATAAGTGCCTCACAGGTGTTCACACGGATTTTTACTTTTCTCGCGGCAAGAAAGTCGTTCAACTCTTTTTTATAAAGATCGGGAGATGTGTGATAATGCCGCTCTATATCCTGAAACAGGATGAAAAATGAACTGGTGAAATACCCTTCGCATAGGCCCCAAATCAGGCAGACTATTGGGCTTTTTTAATGGAAGGCCAAACAATGATATCCTCGGCAGAGTATCCATAAAGTACACCTGCACGTAAGTTAGGCTACCTGAAAAGTCGGAGAACGCGCACGCCTGGAAGCCAGCGCACAACAAGACGAAACCGAGCCAGCTGATTGGTGGGTTCAACACAGAGTCGCGGATTGATGCACAGAATTGAGGCCTTCACTCATGCTTCTCGTATTGACTTCTTTCATGTCGTGCAGTGACTTCCGTTCACCGACAAGGCGCAAAATGTTGCAGCTTCACTTTTAAAGTTCTCAGCGTGGGTAAGCAATCTTCCCAGTTCGAGGATTCAAAATACCGGGCGCGGTACGTCCGAAATCGGTTTCGTTTTTTCCGTTCACCAGGCGCAAAATGTTGCAGCTTCACTTTTAAAGTTCTCAGCGTGGGTAAGCAATCTTCCCAGTTCGAGGATTCAAAATACCTACCGCGGTACGTCCGAAATCGGTTTCGTTTTTCCCTCGTGCAAATTCGTGAAAATTTTTTTCGTTGTTCAATCTATTCACAGAGTACACACGAGTACTTGTTGAATTTTATTACTCTAACAAAACATTTGGGAGATAACGCTTTATATTTTGCGCACATTTCCTATTTTACATCTAGTCCTAAACATGACATCAATTTATACCGATTGCCCCCTGCAGCCGTTGATAGACCACAACGGATGTGGGCGGAATGGCTGCCCATCGAACGTGAAACGTGGTATGCAATGCCACACCTGCAAGGTCTGGTGGCATTTCAAATGCACGGGGTTACAGTACGACCAGATAAGCCGATTAGCTAACTCTCCTGACCCGTTCGTCTGCGCCAGCAGCCTCTACGTCAAGGGTGCGATGCATACCGCAGCGAAGAGGAGTGTCCCCTGAAACGGTACCCAATCCCCAATGCAGATTCAGAAAGACCACTGCCACTGTTCCGCTTTAATCGGGCTACTCGACGCTAAATTAGAGAGTCTTTCAAAGGCACTGGAGGACTCAGGCGCTAAGAATGCAGCGACCTGGACGAAAGTTGACAAGGAACTTTCCTCGCTGAACCAATACCTCGC